TCACTGACACACCGCAGTCCCACTCTCACTGACACACCGCAGTCCCATTCTCACTGACACACCGCAGTCCCACTCTCACTGACACACCACAGCCCCACTCTCACTGACACACCACAGTCCCACTCTCACTGACACACCACAGTCCCACTCTCACTGACACACGGCAGTCCCACTCTCACTGACACACGGCAGTCCCACTCTCACTGACACACCACAGTCCCATTCTCTCTCTCAGTGACAGACTGTGTTCCTAATCTCACTGACACACCACAGTCCCACTCTCACTGACACACAGCAGTCCCACTCTCACTGACACACGGCAGTCCCATTCTCTCTCTCAGTGACAGACTGCGTTCCCAATCTCACTGACACATGGCAGTCCCTCTCACCAACACACCGCAGACTCACGCACGCTGCCACACTGCAGTTTCGCACTCACTGTTAAGCTGCATTCTCACACCCATTGAAACCCTACAGTCTCACACTCATTAACACTGTGCAGACTCACTCACTGACACTGCAGGGTCTCTCAATATTTTCTCTCTCACTGATACCAAGTAGTTTTGCACCCACACACTGCAGTCTCACTCATGAACAAACTGATGTTCCACTCTCACTAATGCACTGCAGTCTCACTCCCATCCACACGGTGCAGTCCCAATTACTCTCTCTCACTGACACACTGCAGTCTCGCACTCATTTACACTGCATTCATGCTCACTGACACTGCAGTCTCACACTCATTTACACTGCATTTATGCTCACTGACACTGCAGTCTCACACTCATTTACACTGCATTCATGCTCACTGACACTGCAGTCTCACACTGCTTTTTCTATCTCACTGACAATCTGTAGTCTCACAATTACACACGGCAGTCTCACACTCATTAAGACACTGTAGTCTCGTACTCTCTTCCACCTTGCTGAGCCACTGTGATACACTGCAGTCCCACTCTCACTGACATACTGCAGCTTCAACCTCACTGACATACTGCAGTCTCTCTCTCTCTCTCACTGACACTGCATTCCTACTCTCACTGACACACCACGGTGTCACCCCCCCCC